CCTTCAAATTCAAGGAGAGTAGTGATGGTTTGACTTATTGGGGGGGGAGGGGGGGGCGGAACCTTGCAAATGCACTTCAGTTTTCCTTACACCGACGTTTGATGCTGCATTTTAAAGTCAATGCACAATAAACAAACAGACAATCAAACAAACAAATAAATTAGAAAATGAATGGACAAACAAATGCATAAAAGTTAGGCGGTCAGCAGTGGTAGTGAGCATCACAGACAAACATAATGTCACTCAGTGGCATTTACACTGGCGCTCGCAAGCCAGGCAGCTACAATGGTGACAGGACACTTGAAGTGGACAAGGATCTGGACATTTATAGCACAGGCAAATTAAATTCCCATGTTGTCGTCCAACAAAATAAGAAGAGGTTAAGAACATGATTGAGGCAATTCGACTGAGGCTTCCGTTGAGGACGGGCGATGCAATCGTCCCACGTAGCCAGAGAGGGGAGGGCTCTTGCTTTTTGGGGCCCCACGCAAAAAAATCACTTAGGGCTCCCAGGTCAGTGGCATTTGTAAATTTTGCTGCACTCTCATCATGCATGCAGACTTCCTATCCCTGACTTTCTTGCTTTTGCAACAAAGACTCTGTAGGCAAACTTGCCAAGCTTGGTGCGATATGCATTACCTGCATCAAGAAAACTGAGAAAAAAATATGAACACACACACACACAGGTTTGTAATTACATCTTTGTGGGGACTCTCCATTCATTTATATGGGGAAAACTCTAATCCCAAATGATGACCTTAACCCCTACCCAACCCTAACCTTAACCACCAATAACCAAACAAAAAATGAGACTTTTGGCATTTTTAGGTTTCTGATTGCATTCACAGATCTTTGTGGGGACCCCAAAACAGGTTTTTATTACATTGTGGGGGACATTTGGTCAGTATGTGTGTGCGTGCGTTTGTACTGGTGTGTGCATGTGCATTTGTGTGTGTATGAGTGTGTATTGGTGTAAGAGTGTCTGTGTCTGTGTGTGTGTGTGTGTGTGTGTGTGTCCTGTGATCAACTGGCATTCTTCCCACTAACTCACGCCCAGAGTTTCCTGGGATAGAGTCCAGCTTCACCATGATGGTTAGACGGATGGATGAGTGGATGGATTCTGTTATTGTTTGTGTCAGCATTTTCTTCAAAATTTTTGTTCTAAGACACAACTTGCTTTTTTGCCCAAGTAGGCCTACTAGATTTTCAGAAAAAAAAAATAAGGAGCAATATGCACTTTATACAGCCTTGATATATCAACGGCCTCGTATTCTAATGCGGGTATGAAGCACTATTGTCCATGGCTTTAGTGACGCAGTGTCTTACTGTTTCTGCTCACTACATGAAAATTAATGTGGAATCAATTATTTGGTCACCGCGCACATCGCCGAACACAGTGCACGTGCCTGTACATGCCTGGCTATGAGTTGAACAGCAAGATTCAAAAGATTACAAAGATTATTATCTTACCTGTTTAATTTAATTAAAATCCATCAGAATCTTTATTTGCTTTTACATTTCTTTATACAATTTATGTTGCACACATTTTTAAATATATTTTTTTTTCTTTTCTCCCAGCGTAGGCTATATTATCCATTTCATTTCAAATGAAGAGTTTCCTTGGTAAAAGACAGCTTACTTTGCTGTTAAACTGTACAACCCATTCTGCTGAAGGACTCATACCGGCTTAATATTTCGTGATTATGGAGTGACGTATGCATTTTTTCTCGCAGTGACAACAGAAACGTTGGCAGGGTTGGGAGCGAAGCGACGGGAAACATATGGCAAGTTGTTTTAAAATAGACGAGCAGCACTCAAAACTATAATCATTAAGAGGAGACCGCAAGAATATCACACCTGAATATATATCTTTATTTTGAAAGCTGTCGTGATGATCGATGGCACTAGGAGTTGGCAATCGCAATTGAAAGCTTTAAAAGTATATGGATCAAAATATTTCCAATCCCAACTTTGCCCGCGTTCAATCAACCAAACGAAAGACATACTGAACAGTGAAACTATAGCCTGTTGTGTTATATCCGGGTCAGGGGAGTTTCTAGCTATTGAAAAGATCAGGGGCTAAGTCCGGTTTACCTGGGCTTGACTTTTTTGTTTTTAAAGGAAGATTGGCATCGGAGCTAAAATATTCGGGGCTATTTTTAGCCAAGCCCCGAGTATTTTAGCTATGACTGGACCTAAGGATGCCTATGTCTGCTTTACTAAAGTCTTTAGACATGCAGTAGCAGTAGTGCCAGTCATCGTCGGAAGGGTTAAGTCGGTCCAAGGGACACTTACAAAGAAAGTGGTGTCTGAGGACAAAGCTATTGATTAGTTTAACAGCGCTCTGTTATCGCTACAAAATCAAGTTTCTTGGAACCTCCGTCATCATCATTACACTGCGAATTGCAGTAAAAGAATTCTGATTACTCTAATTACACAGAGCAGCACTCCGAGGCGCAAAACAGTCATTTGTACTTAAACATACAGTCTGTTTGGTTTAGGTTGACATAATAGTCATATAATTATCAGCAGCAATGTGTGCGGCTGAAAATTCTAGTAACTGGGTCAAACGCGCATTGCATGTGTTAATTATTTAATCCAGCGACTGGGAAAGTATTTAGTGATTTTAAAAAATATATACAAGGCTTTCATCAGTTAATATCCTACAGTATAATTTGTATTATCTCATAACTCACATTATTATCTCTTAACTACACCTGAATTGATCACATTAATCTGTAATTCTCCACACAAAATATTAACTTCATATAGTAATCAATGAGTTATTTTGCAGGTGCCGTGGAACACGACAGAATCATATGCCAAGAGTAAATGTGTAAGAGATGGGAACGAAACGGAAGAAAAAGCAAAACATTTTTTTTAAATGGCTGGTCCTCTGTCGATGTCAGAATTCTATATTTAACGTTGTGATGGCTGCCCTCTCTGGGTATAATGAATAGTTCTTTCTTGTCACGTCATATTTTATTATATTAAGTAGAATATTGTTCTTTATATTTGTACTAGTCCTTAGTTTTCAAAGTGACCAGCATGTCATCCTACTGCTGGTTCTATGGTGATTTGTTTAACTTATTCCATTGCGTAGTTCACATAACCTCACGAAAAATTAACAGAATCCATCAGATGAACCAAACAGAACCAAAATCGACAGAGCTGAACAATAACTTGAGTCCGGAACCTTAACTGATTTTTGTTGGGTTTTTTTTCTAAAAATGTCGGGCATACGTCTTGTTATATTATTGTAGTGAGTGCATATATAACGAATCTGATGCACATATTGAACGGTTTAAGTATATAAAAGGTGTCATTCATATTAGGATAATAAAAGCATTAGGTAGCAGTGCACGAATTACAAACCAGCCACCAGCTCACAACTTATTAAAAGCATGTTAAAAGCATTATATCCCACATGCATTCATCTACACGAAGACAACAAATTATCAGTCTTATATTAGCCTAAACAATGAATCAATTTGTTAACAGATAATTAGAACATTAGAACAACAACATCAGAACATATAGAAAATATCTCGACTAAAATATCACCATGGTGGCCAAAACAAAGAGCAAACATCGTGCGTCATGTCAGGATAAAGTCCGCTTTTTTATTTGCCTTTAGGTTGTTTCCCTACTGACCACGTGGTTTAAAATGGGTATTTTGCCTGTGCTGCTGTAGAGTTGATTTGCTAAAAAAACTAAATCGATAGGTTTAAATCAATAACGAATTTGTGTCTGTAGCGCAGGACCTTCCGTTAGAAATTACACGACTATTTAAATTTTTTATTGATTTTAACTTACCACTTTAGCTTTAGATCTTTCATTGAATCGATTAAATTGTCATTTAGATGGCGGCGAATTATGTTAAAGACTGTACTTATTCAATGAACAAATGAAAGATGATGAATGTTAAATCACGCGCTATTGCCTTTTTTGCGACTTTAGTTTCAGGTTCAGTTGGATCCTATTACAATATTCTATGAATAGTGTATTCATTCATCACAGAGAATAAGGTATTTATAGAGAATGGGGGTTTTCTTTCATGTCAGTGGCGTTCTGGCGTATACGTTTCATTAATAATTTCAGACTGAAAAACAGAATTCAGGCAGCCAAGTCTAGAACTTGCCAAGACTCAGCTGAATCCGCACCAAGGACAGCGCTCCCCGCCTGCTAGGAATAAAGGTTACCGCGTAATAAAGGCGTTCGGTTTGCTCATGTGCATCGCCTTCTTCTGTTACCTGCTTTGCCCCTATTTGTCATCATAGGTGACGGGTTCGTTTGGGAAAGTTTCAGCATTTTAGTAACTTGTTGCTGCTCCGGGTGAAATGTTTGCCAATAAAGTCCGAATTCTGAAACAACGCGCATTACAAGAAGAGAAATAGCCTATTTTTCTTCGCGACGAGGGGTGACACGGAATATTAGAAGTTTATATCTTTCTAAAATACACATAAATTAAACTGCGAAAATAAGATTTTAAATTCGCAGCTCGTGTAGTTTATACCCACTGCAAAATGCAACTGTTGGACACGGTTTGAGGCAGCATACTGCATAGTTTCTTTTATTCAGTTATTTACGCCAAAAATATCACTCTACTAACAGTCCTGCAGTGTGCTTTTTGAAACCCATATCCGTAAAATTAATAAAGGCTATATATATAGGCTACAAAAGTCCTTAACTTATATGTCTTAAGAGTCATGGCCACTGTCATACTGGACACTACAGGCATACAAGACAAAAGATATTTAGAATATATGGAAACGTCTCCTTACACACAAAGTTCAAAAATTAATTCCGCCTCTACACGCCAGAGCGTGTTAATATGACACAAATCCAGATGTATTAAGCAAAACCAATTCTCTTATGTAAATCCAAAGAATGACCTATTGAAAACTGATAGAAATGTCTATTAAAGAATGTGCGCAGCGCGATCGGGGGCAGGTTTTAAGCTGAAATTCTTTGCGCTGCTAAACCGCTTATCGGCGTCGCCACCGTCTTCTGCGTGCGCGGATATTTCCTCAGGTCTTTACAATTGTTCCTCTCCAGCTGCTCCTTTAAGTAGCGCATCCCGGTCGGCTTGTGGGATGGTTCAGTTTCAAGCTGGAGGAAGGAAGTTGCGCAACCCGGATCAGGCATAGAGATAAAAGCTCAGATTGTGATTGAGAGAGATGGAAAAAGAGATTTAACGACAGTATTAACTTGGAGAGAGCGAATGGGAGGGAGAGCAGACCAAAGGGAGAGAGAGAGGAAAACAGAGAGAGAGAGAGAGGGAGAGAGAGAGATAGAGGGATGGGAGGAGGGAGAGAAGAGGGGAGCGACGGGAGGAAGAATTTCCATGAAGCTTTTTCTATCTGCCCTTGAGCGTGCAGGGCAAATGCGATCTAGTAAAGTGGGCTGACAAGTAGGATATGACAAGAGTCATCGACAAAAAAGTAAACATTTCCACTCATGATAATCTTTAACATTGGAATTTGCTTTCATATGCATCATTCTTTTATCTAGGACACCGTGCCGTACCTCCATTTTCAGCGATAATAAAAAGTACCGAACAGAAGCGTAAAGCAAGGGGAGAAGAGCAGCCCATGCAGAGGAGTTGAGTTGGCTTCTGTTTCGTTTAGCTGGGACGCTGAAGGGAAGGGCTGCGCATATGATGGAATACAACGCGTACCGTATCGGCGCAAACACTCGGTGAGTATTCAGGTGACTGCCGAAACTGATTTCTGCAACATGAATTTGTGCAGGAAAAATACGCCGCAGCGAATAACGAGAGAAGTAAAGTTCCATTTTCTCACAGCTGGATGTACAGTACGGATATATCGACCTGCCGTTTTTAAGATTTGCTTATAAGTTATGCACGTTTTAGCTTTAAAATGTCCAATGTACCGGTGCAATGTATTAACAGATCGCAGACCCGAGAAGTGCGCTAAATTTCCCACGTGGCACTATCATAATGCTCCTGTCATCGCTTTAACACTTCCATAATGAATATAAAGTAATGTCTATTAGCGCTGTGGCAACTGCTCCGCAACACACACCCAAGAGTTTAACAAGCCAGGAAGTCGGTGCCCACAAATCATGCGCACTACGGCCACTGGCAGCTTACTCTATATGATATTAACGCATCGGATCAGGCTTAATGCTCCCGTTAAGAAGAATAATGTCTGTGTTTTTCCGGGAAGTTCTTCATATTCATAAGAATCGCTGCAATTTTAACACTTCTCCTATCAGGATGCATGACGTACTGTACAGTCCCGGTTGTTTAGTAACAGAGAGGCAATTACAATTCAAAATCTGTTGTACCCCACATAACATCAGACCGGGAAGCGACTCCTGAGTTTTATTAATGCTGAGAAAATTGCTTGTGTAACCCCTAAAAACATAAAACACTTAAGTGCTCCTAACTGTGTATTATGCAACATAATAGTCGCTCCCCTCACACAACATGAGAATGAACGATTGAATGGGTGAATAATTATGTGTTGACAAAGCAATAGAAATTACATGTTATGCATTATATATGGGAATATATGAATATTTTATTTTATAGCCATACTGGTGTCTTGATCTACATAAATATAGATTAAAGTAAATAAAAGTTTGCAAACAACGCTGAGCCTCCCTACTCCGAATGCACGCGCAATGCTGATCCATACGCGCAAATTTACTTTGCATAGTTGATTAAATTTCGGTAATAAGGCCTGTCATGCCGTGTTCTAGTGTGTTAAATTTATATTCACTTCTTAGTTGCAAAGCAAACACTATTTGATGTAAAATAAGGCAAAACCGACGGCTGAAACTACTTTGAGCGTATGTTTCTGTCAGCTATGCTATATTTAAATGATTAGACATTACTTTTTCTGGGCTGAAAAGTCACTGACAATGCCTTTTTTCTTTGTTTTGTCAGCTTGCAAGAAAATGACAGAAGTAAACAAATGAAGTAAACGGACGCAACTTATCTGTGGGTCAGCTCGAAAATGTAACTGTCCTGCCAACTGCTACCTGAAACGTTTATTCGCCTGGTCGGGAAGCAAACGTGAAATATTTACAGCTGTCGGCTTTCAGACTCCACCTAGTGCGGCATTGACACGGTAATGGATTCGGTATGTGTGTGCAGCGGAGTTCATTTTCAGATTGAAATAATTCTCCTATCATCTGCTGTGATCAAAGCGCCGGAGACCTCTCTGTAACTCTTACAAAAATTCATGAAAATTGTGTATACAGTATAAATATAAACATATGTGCAGGTTTTTTTTTTTTACATCCAAATTATTTAGGCCTACTCCAATTTCTTTGTAGTATAAACATCTTTTCACCCCTCCAAAATTATTTCCCTATCTGAAATAAAGCAAATATTTTCCTCCGGAAATACCCGGATTTCTCACCATGTGTACCGGCCTGATTTCATGCTGATCGACCCCCCGCCTGCAGTGGCTCAGCTCACAACTTTCTGGATTCTCGGTGTCGGACTGTGTCGTGGCTTCAGTCACTGGCCATGCTCCGACAGGTCGTATTTTTCCTGCGGTTTATTGCATTGACTCTGGGCCAGTACGACATATGTAAGTCCCTGGTGAGCACGGACGACGGCCCAATATGGGAGTTTTACGCCTGCCAACCCAAGCCGATGTCCATGAGGGAATACATGAAAATCAAGGTGGAACCGGCGGGCATTACTTGCGGAAGCCCGCCTGAAAGATTCTGCACGCTGGTAAGTATGGCTTGAGTGAATGTTTTCTATTAATTGTCGCAATTGTTCACTATCATTGTATGTTGTAGCAATGTATTAGCTTTTGTGAATTCTTGAAAATAATAAGAAAATAAATATAATGTGTGCAATTAATGCAATGAAACTCTCACAACAATGAATAAGTCCCACAGATGGGGAGATGTGGCGTTTACGGTCTGATCGGATTGAGGGCTGAGCTGAAAGCCCGGCACGGCTTCGTCTGATCGGGATTTGGCGCAGACTGACATGCGGCTCAGAAATTATGCCAGTGGCCGAATGACGTGGCTTTTTTTTAATCGTACACATAAACATGAGCTATTTTAACGAGGGCAACTGTCTTACTTTTCGTTTTTTTATATGTACGTTAAGCTGATGCTGGTTTGAAGACCGTGGTTTCCGCAAAATTTACGTGAAATTATGAAAGTTGAAACAAAACACAACCATGGTAATAAAAACAGGCGTTAAGCTGTTTATGATGTATTAATGAATAAAAGGTTCTTCAACATAACCTTGGCACTTAGCTGATGACTTTCCATTACACTTAAACCGTACACAACAAATAGCCAGCAAACAGGCCTAGATGTTCAAAGGATGGATGGATGTGGCCCAGAAGGGTTGGTGTGAACTTGGGAAGGTTATTAAGAGTCAATAGTGAAACCCTAGGCAATGAGTTAATTGTATGATAACTGACTTTCTTCCATGCTGAGATAACAAGCTCTGCAACCTGGTTTTATTACCTTTATTTAAAGTTGATAATGAACTTGGGGGTATTCTGTTTACAGCGGATGATGGGGTAGGCTCTGACATCACACAGCATTGTGATGGAGGCAGACAGAAGGCCTGCCAGAATAGGGATTTACTCTGGATGTGTTTAACTGTTCACCAAGCGTAGATAATTACGCAGTGGGGAAAGCGACCATGCAGTGAAGAAGCAGTTTGTTAGGCTGCACCAGAAACAATAGGTGCAGCAGATAGAATAGCATAGTGTTTCAGGACTTGGCCTCGTGTGATCAAAAGTTTGCTGGGTCTAGTCCCTGTATTTCTATGGTGGATTTAATCCGAAGAGTTTCAGATAAAATATTAATATTCACCTATGTTACATATAGTGGGTAAACTCGTCACCAACGTAAGTCAGTTCCGATAAAAGCAAATGAATTATTTAGAAAGAAGCAGGCCTTCGTCTCCCTTTTAGCTCAGGTAAATTCAAAGGGTGCTTTATGTTTGTTTATTATAAAAAGCAAAAAAGAAATGCTGATATTTGTAAAAAGCCTTGTGTACGAAAAATACAGCAAATGCTAAACTGACTCCTGGCCTTCTTATAGCTTGGCCTGGAAAGTTCTACAAGTATTCTCAAATAAAGTATTCACACGACACTAGTGACGGCGTTTGCACGTTAAGATTTTTAAAAAGTTGGAATGGTTGAAAGCAGTGTGCAGCAGTCTGACCATGTGCAGAGGGGAACCTAAAAGGGGAGGGGGGGAACCATTTAAGCTGCTGACGAAGAGTGAACCATCAGACAAACGTTTGGACAGCCCTGGCTGACACACTAACCCTCCTACTCGCGTGTCCTAATTAGTGCCTCCTTTGTGCGGGTTTGTACGTAAAAATACTTTCAACAACACCCTTACTGCAATTAATATTGCTATTCATTATTATGATTTCAATGCATTGTCTTAAAAGGTTTATAACCATCCCCATTTTTTGTGCTTACGTTAAGTTTATTACCATGTTTAATTTCTAGATTGAGGTCTTTTTCCGCGACAGGCCCCTGTCCTGTATTACAGCTGCCCTTTTTGTGGGAGAAACACTCCATGCCTCATCAATGATTCAGAGCCAGACTGAGCTCCTCTTTGCCCACTCTGGGGAAAGGGTGGCATTTTTATATTTTATTTTATTTTTTTCCCGTGCCGCACTTTCTGTTTTGCCGCGGACGTTTTCCTCCGCTGCTGCAGTCGGGAGCGCGCCGAGCACCAGCTATCGACGGGGGAGGGGAGGGAAGATCACAGCTTTGCTAAGCAAAAAAAAAAAAGTGTGAGAGAGAGAGAGAGATAAAACGGACCGCCTCGATGCGCGCTCGGCGCATGCACGGGACGATGGCCGGCGCGCCGCCGTTTGCACCTCTGTCAGTCGGCTCGTGAGAATGGGGAAGGACCCTCCCCGCGAGCATCTCGTGACGAGGGGGGTGTGTGAGGACCTCTCCGTGCTCCACTGTGGAGCTGGCCGTGTGAAACAGGCAAAAAAAAAAAACAAATGGGGAAAAAACAGCCTGTACTATAAATAGCCAGGAGAGTAACGGCGCAGTGGAAGACTGGCACATGTGAAGGGAAGAGCAGCTGGTAATTATCTGTGGGTTTCATTTGTAGGCTATCTGATAGTTAAGTACACCAAGCCCACTCACAAATGGTTTTTGAGACTCAGAAATGAGAGCTAATATTTTTCCGTCCTTAAATCAGAGATGTTCAATTGAGGCACTGGATATAAGTTTTCTAGTTATTTGTAATTTGCTGGCAGCAATTGATAGATGAACAGGTCAGTTGATTTAGGTACTTAAACACTCCAGTGCAGTGAAAGCTGACTCACACTGGGCCCTGGATGGGAATCGAGGTGCTCTTCCCTTTCTCGTCGTTGGTGACATCACGGAACATTAGTGATGTATAAAATGTTGGCCATGAGATTTCAGTGTACTCTTTCCTACTCCCGTCCCCACGTTGTGCCTTGTATGGCTTTGCCCATAGTCATTAATCACCGTCTGTTTTTGCGGGTTGCTGCTCGTGGGAGACCCTTCACATGCTCGCCGTCGAGCCTGTATCGCGGCCCTGCTCCTCGAAAGCAGCGCAGTGCCTTTCTGGCCTGAATCGATTCATGCACTAATAACACAAATCAACAAAATTTATGTGAATCGTCACATTTTAATATTTTAAACATTAATACACTGGCGATAAATTGTAATTCTAAGTAACTTTTTAATTATAATAGAATCAATTTGACAGATAGCACTCTAATTTAAATTAGTTCATTATTAAAGCCCCAGGGTTCGGATCTTGTATTATCGTATTGCATGCCTAATGCCATTTGTATGTAGTGCCGTTTTTAAGTGTAACTGTATTCCTGGAGTCTCCATTCATAAGTAGGCTTAGCTATTGTGTTGAAATAGGTCTGTTGATTTAGTCACAGTCGGCTCTTCAGGCCTTGGCTCGCTGAGCCAATCAGACGCTGCACCTCCTGAAGCCCCGCCCCCGCCCCACTCATTTGCTCCCCAGCGAAGCCGGGATGCTGTTTCACGCTGAATTTGTTCGGCATCAGCTGCTGTGTCACCGGGTCTCCCCAAGGGGGGGGGGGGCTTCCTTTACTGTAATTAACAGAGCGGGGGCCGCAGCGGGAGCTGGCTCACTAGGGCAACGCGGGCGCGAACCCCCCCAGGCCCCGGGACAGGACACTCGCTCCCAGTGCCCTGCCCCACTACGGCAGTCTCTCTCTCCTGCTCTTTCAGGTCTGCACATGCTGACGCCCTTCAGGGGGAACCATAACTGTCCAGTATAAAGAGGCAGCAGAAACCGCAACATGCTTTAAGTCTGGGGCACTGCTAGAGATTTTGGGACATTTCATATTGGGCCCCCAACCCAACCAATCAAATTATGTTCAAAATTTTTTGGGCCCCTGTCGCTAAGAGGCCCTTGGAACCCCACCCCCCCAACTTTACAGTATCCCTGCTTTATATTATCACACACTCTCTACCTTTGTGAAGCCCGGTACTCTCACTGATGCTGTGTACGTGGTCATCTGTTGGTTCCTGGCAGGAATCTTTGCATCATCCCTATTGACTTGAACTTGAGATGAAAGAATTCACTGACAAAAAAAAGATGGATATTGAAAAATAAGCAGGCAGACGCCGGAGTACGTCAGCGGTACTTCGGTCAGGTACAGGCTGACCTTATGACACTGAAGGTTTTCGCTGGTGCCAGGCGAGCCCCCCCCCCATTTCCTCTCTGACCGCTTCTTACACAGAGTGGACGGTATCAGTTTCCCCGCCCAGCCTGGCTGCTCCGGGCTCGACGTCGTTGAGGCTGGGAGTCCATTACGAGGGCCTCTCTGCCGCCCCCCCTACTGCCCCCCCCCCCCCCCCCCCCCCCCCCCCCCCCCCCCCCCCCGCAGTGATCCCGGCCTGCCCTCTCGTCTGTCCACTCCACAGAAGCCGGCACACGAGCCTCTCTCGTGTTTCCAAATAACTATCTGCGCTCGCCTCAGGACGAGAGCTTCAATTAAGATGTGAATGGACACTGGTCCACTGTTTTGTTGCTGCAGCACTTGTGCTGGTACTGTGCCCACAAAGGGCTCTCAGACACGCTCTGTCCCCCCCACCCCCCTCTAGGAGAGAGTGCCCATCCAGTCCATTTATGTTCTCGTGATAACTGGACAGCCATGAAAGTACACAGTAAGGCTATTGCCTTTTTAAGACAGCAGCCATGTCAGAAAATGTGTTTCATGCAGCGAAATGCTAATTGAGCATGCGTCAAGAGGACCAGGGGAAAAGATCTGTGCCTTAAGATTCAGCGAGTCCACGCCGGGAACTGTGACAGCAATGATGTGATGGAAAAAAAGGGAAAATGTGTGGGAATGGTAATTTAAGCACTGGTTGTGAATGGTGCGGGCGAGTGACTAAGCAAATGCATTAGACACAGGGTCAATTTGCTGAACGTACGGTTAATTATGGTGTTTATACTTTTATGCCGTTATGGACCATTAGAGCTTTGAGGAGACGGCTATAAAGGCTCTCATAACGCTGCACTAAAACCTGCCTGCCCATCCCCCCCTTTTAAAGGGATTAAACATGGTGTCCGGGTTACAGGCCGCCTGGTAACCAAAAACTGCAGCACTAAGTCATAATGGATGCAGTAATGCACTCTGGTTAATGCAGTGTGGCAGTAGCTTGTCCGTCCGGGCCGGGGGTCCTCACCCTGTCCGGGGTCTCCTCCGCTGAGGATGGCTGGTGACCTTACAGCATCGCGTCACACTTGATTTGGACCATACATGCTGGTCTGATATGGAGAAACACAGAATAGCAGCGTCTGTGATGAATGCTGGTGTTACATATGTTTTGCACTTTGCCGAAGACGTTTTCTACAGTCACAGAAGTACAAGTATTTGCGAGTTACTTGGAGCGAACCAGGGATGTTCTGCCAGCTGTTTGGGGCGGCTTAGCGCTGGGTGTTGTTTAGCGGCGTCTGCGTGCGGCCTGGAGTTCTTCGCACAGGGGAGACGCGACGAGCCGCGGGTAGGTTGGGAATCTCTACCCAGCACAGATAATTGCCGAATGGGCTTTTGTGTCCCAGACCTGGCTGGCACAGCGTCGACTCCCGGGAGCTCGCATGCTACGTACCGCTACAGAATTTGGGCCAAGTGAGGGGGGGGGGGGGGGGGGGCGGGATTCTGCATAATCTAGTAAAAAAAAAAAACTGCAGCAGGCTCCCTGACCTACCTATCCCTACCCCCCTTTCACTTGTAAATGCTGCAGCTCTTGGTTAAATAAGTCCCCCCCCCCGCTTCAGTGACACTGGAGCATTACTGACCAATGCCTGGCC